CATAAAGCTAACCTTTTTGCCTGAAATCGAATTCAGGTCAAACCTCTAGCATTCAGTGGTCTTAAAACTTGGCTACTGGCAAGGCCTATTTTATTTTGAAACCCATTTTCAAGTACAGAGTGGTCATAAAAAAAAAAAACTTCTCCTATACCTCAACCCCTAGCGACCTAACTGCCCAACCAAGCAAACGAAATTTCAGATATTGTCATTTGAAGGCATGTGTTCAAGATTGTAATGATTTAAAACACTAAAAACTACTCTGATATGCAACCTCAAGTCGGCAAATTTCTCGCCAACTTCCACGCTGACATATTACAGTCAAAAGTCTTTAATCTGGACTCATCGGGACTTCGGCGATTCCGGATTATAGATCATCAGTTTAAATCTGGTAAGATGGCATGCAGAAATTATAAAATTAAAAATATGAAACTGTAATTTATGAAATAAAGAGCAATTAAAGGTATCAAAATACTAAAAGGTACTAAAGGGTATCAAAATTTACAAAAAAAAAAAAAAAAAAAAAAAAAAAAAAAGCTTAATATTAATTTGTTTACTTTATTAAACATTTCTTTCAATGCGCCCATGCGTAAAGAATACATTACGCATAGTCAAAATTAGAAAATTGCAACCAGAAAACTATTTGATGTGTACTCGTGATATTTATAATGACGAGGAATTTGGTTTAAATCATATCAAAGATGGAATACATTGAGATGAAATACTACATTTAGTAAGGAATTATAAGTTGAATAAAATTAAAACATCTGCCCTGAAAATAAGGATAGTGTGCTGACAGATCAATTTCCAGTTCATTGTGCACCGCGACGACCTACTTCTATCATGCACAGCCACTAAAAATAATCTCCCAGATCCTCTTCCCACTCCTCCAGACACCCACTGCCCCTCAACAGGATGGCCACAATGATATTTCCTTTTTCCAAACTTCAACAACTTCCACCATTTTATCTCTCCCCCCCCCATCTTCTCAGACACAGACGCGTACCAATGAGCTCCTGCGAAAGATTTTTCAACATCAACAGGGTTGCCATACAACACGCAACCGTGCCAAAAACCAGCGCAGAACACATATCACCACATTTGGTGAAATCAGGGCGTATATCAGAGTTGTACCTAATATAGCACTCACAGTTATGGCTTCAGTGAAAAAAATTCAAAATTTTCAAATGGCAGCATCCACTTTTTCCCTGCAAACAGATCAACATGATGAAAAATCATAAATAGGACTGGAACAATACATGTATAACAAAATTTGCTGGCATAAAACATTTGCAAAGGAGAACATTGCAAACGACCAGTGACAGCACAACAGAGGAAAGAGAAAATTCTTTTTATTGAAATTACAACTATTCAGCATGCCCACCTTCGGAGACAATAATGCATTGCATGCAGAAGATTGTTGACAACAACGATGAACGTAACATCACAAAAGGAATTTATATAACCATGTTTTTACGGCATCTTTCATTTCTGACAAATCTTGTCAATTTGATGTGTACACCTTTGATTTCAAGATACCCCAAAACTATAAATCCATTGGAATGAGGTCAGGGGATCACAGTAGCCACAAAAATGTAAAGTTTTGGGAGATGACTCTGTTACAGCATTTGGCAAACACATATGGCCATGTGTGAAGGACTACCATCTTGCATCCATACAATGTCATTAATGATACTTGTTGTTTAATGATACATTGTTTTCCATAGTTGAATAATGCTCATTCTCTCTTAATAAATAAATACAGTACGAAGTCCGAAATCCGGACTGGTCGGGACTTTAGCGATTCCGGATTAGGGGTTTTGGCTAATCTTTGGAATATGGTAACAGGCAGTTTGGCGACATTTTGGTAGGCAATAAAGGTTACTACCTAGGACTTTGGCAATAATGTGAGAAGTACCCAGTTCCAATTACGCATTATTTTGTGTGAGAGAAATGAGAGAACATGAGATATGTCATGTGACATTTATGGACGAATCACAGTTCTTTAATTGGAAAAGGGGGGAAATTTGGAAAAATATCTGCAGTACTTTATAGTATTTTGTATTTAGCTTCATTGTGTGTTTTGTGAAAAAGTGTTGCTTAATTTTTTGATCCCATGGCCCTATCTAAAGTGAATTCGAAATTTTTATTGCGTTTAGCATTTTGTATTTAGCTTCATTGTGTGTTGTATGAGAATGAAATGAGATTGTGTGAAAGGAAGGATATTACAGATAAGTTTGAATGGCGGTGCAAGAAATCTGGTGAAAATGGACATTTTGTGATCTGCCATGCACTCAAGATTCTGTAGAAGATTAGGTAAGTTAATATTTTTAATCATTTGAGGATATTATTTTATCCATTGTTCTAAATATAAAGAATAAATAAATTAATATGCTATTATTGGAAAATTTTTATTAGCAATGAATTAGTTTAAAATAATTAAGATTTTAAGTTAATTTTTATTAATTTAATGTATGTGTTTATTTATATTTTAAGTAGTGTTTTTTAATTTAATTATATTTTAATTAAATGATAGTTATTTGTGAATGATATGTTTGTAGCATTTTGGAATATGTTTCAGTAGAAGCAAACGTGCATGGAAATAATTTAAATATTTGACACTAAGTATTTGCAACCATTTTTAATGTTTGCGTTATAAATTCGCAGGTGATGTTTATAATAGATAATTTAGAGGGAAAAGTTTTTGGATATTTTATTTATTTTATACGTGCAGATGTTCATCCTTGGAACGGGTATATACTTTTCGCGATCAGGTAATTTCATATATGTCCTTTTTACCGACTTTAAAGATTTACAAAATTTTCCTGCATTTTCGTGCAAATTTTTCTAATTTATGAGAAAAAAGCAGTGTACATGGATAAAGTTTAGAGTGTGCGCAATGCCATTTTTGTGCAATTCTGGGATGTTTTTTTAAGTAAAAATAGGTCGACGTGTACACGGTTACTGTGTATGTGCCATTCTGAAAAACGCGGCAAGGAGTTTGTGATTCTGCACTTTCTCCCAATTTTGCAGTTAATATTCGTCATGATTAAGCACTTTTGTTCCATAAAATTTCTAGCATAAGCGTAATTTCGGCTAGCAGATTGTTGGAAAATATGTTCAGAGTAAGTAAAAAGAAAAGAAACCTGTTCTTTACTTCGTGAAGACAAAATGGCCGCAAAAAAAAAAAAAAAAAAAGAAAAGAAAAAAGAAGAAGTAGGAAGGTTGGCTGTAGCAGGGATTGGTTGCCAAATTTTCGCACCAAAATCGGCCAACGTTACCATATTCCAAAGATTAACCGGGCTTTTTCCAGATTATAGATCATCAATTTAAATCTGGTAAGATGACATGCAGAAATTATACATTTAAAAATATGAAATCATAATTTATGAAATAAAAAGCAATTATGATCTAAAGGGTATCAAAATTTTCAAAAAAAGGTTAATATTTATTTTACTTTATTAAACATTTCTTTCAATGCAAGTTGCTTCGATTTTTGTGCTAATACTTTAATTCTACAAACAGACATAATTTCTTGTTCAGTTACAAAGTTCCACTGTTCAAGTCCTGTAATTGCTGTGTCGAGAATATCGATTAACTTGTCAATCGAAATTTTTTCGTTTTCAATAACCTCTCTGTCACTTTCTTCACTATCGGAAGCGGATCCACTTTTTGTTTGATGGACATCGAAACATGCTTTCGCTTTGTAGATCCTTTGGCAGCTCCAGAAATGAAAACTCTTTTTGACATAATCGAAAGTTCAAGCTTAATTTTTATAAAATTGCTCAAACAGTCTGCAAAAAATAATAAGCCGAATCCAATTAGAAGATTAGGAAACAGCACAATCTACAACATTAACTGAAATGCCTTAGAATCAGTAAAGATAATTTTAGCCTAGCTTATACCGTCCGTTATACATTAAATGCATTACGCTCATGCGTAAAGCATGCAAAAAACAAAAGTTTGTGGCTTTGAGGTCCGGATTATAGATCATTCCGGATAACGAACGTCCAGATTACGGACTTTGTACTGTATTTTTTGTTGGCTGCTCCTTTGACTTTTTGAGTGAAAACAGATTGATGTGTACATGGACAAAGTCAAGTAAGTGTGCAATGCCAACTTTGTGCAATTCTCTGATTTTCTTTAAAGTGAAAACAGATCGATATGTACATGGACAAAGTCAAGTGAGTGAGCAATGGCAAGTTTGTGCAATTCTCTGACTTTGTTTTAAGTGAAAATAGGTCGATGTGTACATGGATACAAAATTTCTGCAATTTTTTTACTTGAAGTTTTGGCTTTGTGTAGCAGCGATTTTTGGCATGAAAATCACTGCTACACAAAACCAAAATAACAAGTCAAAGAATTGCACTCGGTATTCATGTACCACCAATTATCAACAAGGGGCACCCGTAAATATATTTTTTCCATGTCAACATATTGAAAAATTTCATAAAATTTAAAATTAGATAAAAATGACAAAATAAAATTAAATCTACAGTCTGTCTATCATAAGGAAAAACTCTCGCCAGTTAGTCTGCAGCTGTCTGTTGCCGTAGAAACAAGCCATGACCGATTTTCTGTAGGGGTGTCTTGAAGACGAATGATAAACTGTTTTCCCCTCAGCCAACAGTTTCCCAAAACAAAATAACAATAAAACAACCCTTGGTTCGCCCCTATCTGAAATATACTAGCCCTGTTGCTATAGCGACCGCCAGACACTGCGACGGGAGCTGTTCTTCTCGTAGACAGACAGTAATACTATTCAAAAATGCACAGTCAAAATATTTTTTAGCAGAATAAAAGTTGTTAATATAAATTTTGTTACACACATGCACATGGCTGTGAAGGACTTGCACTGAGAATATTTCATAATTAAAATTTATTACATAATACTAATAACAAGCATGCAATTATATGCTTATGTTACTCTTTTCACAATCTGAATTTTCACCAAGTAAGACATATTGGTTAGTTACTAAGCAAACTGTTAATCACTAACTCACATCATGCGTTCCATGAGAAAAATTCATTCGTGCAATATTCATCCCAGCATTAATCATATCCACAAGCATGCCAACATCCCTAGACGATGGCCCTATAAATATAACAAAAATGGAGAAGAACCAACTTTAATTATGTACAATAAGCAACAATTTTACTGACCAATCGTACTTCTACAACAATAACTTTAAAGTAAAATTCCAAATAAAATTTTAAAATAATTATTAACCTAATGTTTTCAAATAATATACTGAATACATTCTGAAATATGTAACAGGTTACATTAAATTACCTGTCATGGCAAAGCACCTGGATAGATTCTACCACAGAATGTCTTAGTGAAAGGCTTTAAATGGCAAACTGGTTGATATTAACACTGAACATGGACAGAAACTCACAAAATTCCGAAGCAGCCAGCCTATTCATTCACCAGGAACTAGATTTATTTCAATTACAAGTATGCAGTGGCATTTTTTAGGTCTAATAATTGTTAAAATTAAAGAAAAACTGCAATAAATAAAATATTCAGAACCTGGCGAAATCAGAACTTTCCTTGAAAAGTTTTTTTTTCGGGGGGGGGGGGGAGTGTGACTAACACTCATATAAATCCATTAACCAATTCATTCCTAGAATTATGTTCTCAGAAGAAAATATGGATGTACATAGACCTATGCTAAAATAATTTGCTTTGTTTCAGCATTTTCAATTCAATCATTAACTAATTTTTTAGCTATAAGAGTTAATAAAAATTTAGACATTTCGACTAGTTTTATTTAATACTAAGATGCAGAACTATTTCAATTAAAGATTAACTATATACTATTTAAGACTGGGAATTATTTTCAATTACACAGAATGAACATCAGAACACATAAAAAAATAAAAGAATTGCAGTTTTTTTAATAATTTTTACCATCTCCTAAAATAAAGCATGTACATAGTACACAAACCATAATTCTAAGAAACGTAAGTAAAGAACAGGATACAAACCAATGGTGCAGATAATGCCAGTAAGTCTGCAGTTTGATGGTGGTGCATCAATATCTAGCACACTTAAATGATCTAATAACGTATACTCTTGCTCTCTTGTCAGTTTAGAAGCACTTTTATCACCCATGATTCTTTTAAATCTACATCAAGGCAAAAAAAGGTCTCATATAAAGTATATTCTTAACAAAAACAAAATCAGTGCAGAATGATTACTACATATTACTTATGGTATCTTAAAGTCCAAATAATTTAATCGGTTGAATCTCAAAACAACAGTTTAACTCACTTTGCTTAATGTTAATAAGAAACTATTTACTTTAATATAAACAAGCTGCAAATGCATAAATATCTATTCTATCGATTATGATGTATTGAAATACTATAATAATAAAATGTAAAACGTCTCTAAGGTTCCGGGAAAGCAGCTGCATCAATTTAAAAAACAGAAAATTCGCACGTATGAAAATTTAATTGCACATACGTTAGTTAAATGATGCAGACTTACAGAATTTATCTGGTTAAATCTCACAAACTTAACGTTCTAAGCGATGATTAGCCGGCACCTGCCCAACACTATCGGTAACCTCTCCCGTATGCTGTACACTTTAATTTCCTCTGCCCTTGAACTGCCCTCCGAACTGTCCTTTACAAAAACAGTCTCGTATAGGCGATATTTTCGCGCCTTGGGCAGAGGGCGTCAATTACAAACAGTATCTATTGATTAAATTAATATTAAATAACAAGCAAATAATATAATAATAATAAAGCAACAAAAATATGCATTTTAACTATATTAATTTTTGATACCAATCTTTGAATTTGGTAATCTGATTATGCTTAGCACACCGAGTGTCCAATCCTACAATCCAACTCCTTAACATGGTAATGCTTTGGATGATTTATTATTATTACTACATTACTGAAATGAAACTTGTACAGTAATGATAGGGTTAAGCAAAACTGATTCAGAGAGATATAGACGAAGTTTCTGTAAGGCTGAGAGAAGACAGTGGTGGAGACAATCTCCATAGAAAGGCACTGAATCTTTCAGAATGTAGTAATAATAATAAATTACAGATATTCAATTTTTTTTAATTTCTACTGTGATTATGTCTCATTCCCGTGAGAAGATGGACTGGATGAATCCGAATTGTCTGATACGGATTTGTCAGTGAATTCGACTACCGCATCTTTGTGGTTTTACCTTAATCCGGTATAGAATACCGGATTAAGGTAAAACCAGTAATAATGATAGTGATAGGAGTGAAGCTACCAAGAGAAGTTGTAATAAGCAATAACAGAGCTTGCTGATGAACCTTAACGTGCTTCAAGGTATAGACCTTGCGGACCAGAACAGAATATTACAAGCTGATTATTTAAAAGCGTTTGGAAACAATATAAAGAAAACATATCATTCATCGCCAGATCAACTACCAAGAAAGAAGCCTATGCATGAAATGGAAAGTACTGGAAGCGAGGACCACTTGGTTGAAGTCGACCAAGTGCAGAGCAAGGAGAAAGTTTCGATTAAGCTAAGCAAAATTTCCAGAGGAGCGGAGACCAGTGCACCTGCACAAGAGATCCTACAGAAACACAGTTTCTAGAACCTGAACGAGGAAAAACTGGAAAGTAAACCGCCAACAGCAGAAACACCAAAAGATGAGGCAGTAAAAGAGCAGCTATCGGAAAAAGTTGCGATGATTTTTCAGAAAATGTGATATCAAGGGTTCTGAAAGAGTATTTCTTTCGGACAATATTAATGATGATTAATTTAGAAGTTATGCAAAATAATACCTTCTCCTCAGAAAGGAAACACTGATAAAAGTCGTTTTCGAGGCTTGGTTGCTGATTTTTCAGAACAAGAAACATGAAATCTGAAATTTCCAACTGAAAAATTAAAATAGTTAATCCGTGACGTTGACAACCGTGTTGAAAGATTCCGTGATCTTCATGCAAATGCCGTGAAACGACGAGAGGAGAAAGATATTTGGACTTAAATTAATTTCCCATACGAAGGTGAGAATTGTCTCTTTCAAACCACAAATGTTCCCTACATAGTGCTTCCGACGCCAGCGCTTCGGACAAGCTCAATCCGGGTGTTATAATCCCCCAAACTGCGTGAAATGTTCGAGAGATCATATGACTACTTCTTGCCCCTGAAAGGAAAATAAAAAGCCAACCTGAGTTCGCTGTTCTGGCGAATACACGGCGGCATCGAGATTAAGCCCTGAATTTTACTGTGAGAAATCAAGATTACCAAGTTAGAAGTACATAGAATTAACCTGCGCACAAGCCCTTAGACCTGACCGTACCAAAAACTGTGGGTGAAGAGCTCTGATGTTGCGTAGGAGATTCAAAATATACTTAACAATAAAACGCTTAAAAGATGCTCATACAATGTCCTGCAATTGGTTGACATTTGTAAGAAACCAAGAACCCCCTAAAAAAACGACAGGTTGAATTGAAGATAACAGAAATATTCGTAAAGACAGATTTGTGGTGCTAGTGATATGGAGCGCGCCTTGCGCCCCCGCGTGTCTGCCGATAAATACGGCAACCTTAGGTAGAAGTGCACAGAGGAGAAGAGACCAGACCGGCTGTTCGAGAAGTAGCATGCATATTTGAAGTCTCGAAATAAAGATCAATTTGTACTTGGTAATATGTCTTCTGAAAGTTCTTCATGAATACTGTGAGAACATTTAATGTAATCTGGACAACTAGAATTCCGTAGGATCTACTACGATTAACGCAGATTGCAACAGTTACTAAAAACCGTAAACGTTTCTGTGATGGTAGCTGAAATGCCACACCCTTTCTGAAGCCACTTTTCTATCTTTTTCGTTCTACGTTGACAAGGCTCCATGTCACGGAATGTTCCACTATTATGACTACAAACTGAGTACATACTCAGAGTGATGTCTTAATATCTCAATGAACTTTCTAATTCTTTGAAGAAAAGTGTGATGTATGTGTGTATAATTATTTCTCTCTCAGTATGCGCACAAGTATTTCGTATGGGCTTCCTCATTTCTTTTGGAGTCGTTGGTACGTCCATATAAGATAGCCCTTTGAGGTAACATCATGAAAGAAGACCTATGTAATGAATTATCATTACATATCATTACATTATATTATTATATTAAGACCTATGTAATGAATTATCACTACAAACTTCGAATTTTACAAAAGTTTTAATATTATTCTGTTTAGTTCAGGTGATATTATTTTGAAACTGGATATTTTTTCAGTGGAGGTTGATCGTCTATAGTGAGTTGTCACGCCACTAAACGTAAATCAAAAATTGCCTTCTACATCACAAGTTGCTTGTAGTCTTCGTTCTTGTTTCTATTACGGCTGCTGCTGAAAATTCAAATTAATTATTAGAAGTCGAGCGTCGAACACCTTGATCTGTCAATGTATAGCATGCAATTTTGGGAGATAATATACTTGCGCCTTTTTAATCGATCGTATTCATAGTAAGAACAGAAATAGACACAAATGTTTTAGCTGAGGAATTATTGGGAGTAGCACTATTAAAATAAAGGTAATAATTGCTGTTGTTCTACGTATTACTACTGATTCTCCATGAATGCTTCGCATTCAAAAATCTCCTTTCTGATTATGCTAAGCCTGCAAAGAGGTATACTTAAAATTATTTCATTAACTGCACACGAGGCAGGGCGATGCCCGATTTGAAAGGAAGACTGCATGACTTCAGCACAATAGATGCCTTCTCATTATACACGTTTTTAGCCAGGGCTGACGCCAGAACAGGTGAGGCCATACCAGACAGTATGATGCTTAGAATTTCGAGAAACACCGAGCGAAAAAAAATAGGGATGCAGAATTTTTAGACTTCAGGGCAGCAGAATTTAAGGACGGTAAAATTTTTAGAATTTTCGGAGGTAAGGGGCAGCAGAAATTAGGACTCACAGAAATTGCAACGGCATCCTCCAATCAGGGTCTAGATTCGGCTCTAGTTGCTACAGATGTTTTAAATATAAAGAGAATTGGATAGGAAGAGGAAGTCGAGTACAACTCGATTCCATTCCCGTATTTTCTTTCATGATGTTACCTCAAAGGGCTATCTTATATGGACGTACCAACGACTCCAAAAGAAATGAGGAAGCCCATACGAAATACTTGTGCGCATACTGAGAGAGAAATAATTATACACACACACATCACACTTTTCTTCAAAGAATTAGAAAGTTCATTGAGATATTAAGACATCACTCTGAGCCTTTATTAAAATAATCTAATTGGATTGTGCAATTTTTTATAAAGCTAAATTAGTTGCTGCTGAAATATTACATTTTTATTATCAGTGTTTTCTTTTCGAATTCTGACATCAGTTACGTATTCCGCTTCAAAACACATCTCGGATTACAACACTTACAGGTAGAAGTTATGTCAGGACCTCTGCAGTAGCACAGGTGATTGAAGTATTGCTGAACCTCCCTAATTGTTAAGCGTCTGCCCCAGTTTTGAGGAAGAACACTCCGGGGGGGGCTGTCCGTGATTCTCCCATCCCTTTTTCCTAATACCGACCTCTCGAAAGGACTTTTTCTTCTCGCCATGTATTTTGAGTGCCCCTTTCCACACAGACATTATACTCTTACAAAGATCTATACCTTCTCCCATATTCAAATACCCTCACCGGACTCTAGTTCTGCAAATATACGGATAGTTCAAAATCTCCAGAGGGTATGGGAAACAGATTCTGTATCTTTTCCGAAGAAGCATGAGCATACGAATGGAAAAAACATTATGTTCTAAGAACTCACTTTTCCAGGCGTAGTTTATATCTATCAGGGCAATTCTACACTTGAGGAGAATCCCACAGTGCTAAGTTTCATCGACGCACTTAACCTCAAGTCTCGCTGCAATAAATGGAATTCGTTCTCGCAACGCTATCATCAGCAGCATTAGAGACATTCTAATCCAAACTTCTAACCCTCAGGTTGGTGTTGGATTTAAAGATTCGGACATTCAAACTGCTCTTAAGATTATAGCAAGAACACTGGGATCAAATTCTACAAGGAGACGAGTTCATAAATTCATTCCTAAGGTTAAGACGACAGTCCAAACCAATAGCAACTGCATGACGTATTTTCTCACGGGTCACGGTCCTTCCTTTCGTACCTCGGATCAAGCGACAGTACGTTAGTACATTGCAGTCAGGTACCCGCGCGTGAAGCGCTACCCTAGAATATCTGACTAAACGATTTTCGATCATATACAGTTCCTAATTTGGAGCAGGTATGAACATGCGTGAAGATGGCATAATCTAGTGAGATCCCAAGAGACTGGCCACCGCGGTGGCTAACACGCCCCACCGGGCGAGGGCAAGTGCGGAGTAAGAAAAAGAGACGCCTTTTGCAACCAAGTCCAGAGAGTCCAGTGTGACACACATAGTTTACAACACACAAAAATATAAGCATAGTGAGAAATTGAGTACATACAGGCAGAAATGAAAAAAATAGTATAATATATTAAACATGGTGGTAATTTGTGAATTTAGATATTTACAATTACAAATCAGAAATATTGTACATAAAGAAAGCATTAGTTGGAAACAACAGGTTATATTAGATGTCTCAGTACGGCCCGAGGCCTTTTTTTGAAGGCCTGGCTATTATAATTATAATCCAATACAGGGAT